TATGGATATTACATATTAACATGATATTACTCATGGCGATCCAACTCAGGTGTCCGGTGAACTCGGAATACTATATGGGCAAGAGGTGTAATGAGCAACACCTTGTTTGCAGTCGCTTCTTGCCAACGTTAACATGTTCCCTGCACCCCCTGAAGGATGCCCACATCCCGTCAAGGCTATTTCCCACAAGACAACACAGTGTTCTATTTGTTTGCGTTCGTTTCGGCTAAAATTTAAGGGTGTTTAGGCTTGCAGTTTTCTCGAATGCGTAGCAAGGGTTCCCGTTTCACTCTGGGGGTCTGGGGGTCGTCCGCAACCGTTCGCAACCGTTCGCGTGATGGCCGTATGGCCGTGCCTATGGTAAGTTTCGCAGAAGGGGTCATTTTTGGAGGTTTCAAACGTCGCGTTGCTTCGTTTCGCGTGGCAGGCGTGGCACTTCGTGACATTCAGACGTGTTTTGTAACGCGTCGAAAGTTGTTTTGTGTGGCAGGCGCACTACTTTTGCGACGTTTTCGCAAGATGCGTTGCAGTTAGGTGCAGCGCTTTAGACGCGTTCATCGCCATTTCGCGTGGCAGGCGCAGCACTTTAGACGTGTCGTGTTGCGTGTTTTTTGCGAATCGTATTGTCAGGGCTGTGTCAAGTGGCGACAAGGTGCAAATTCCGTGGCAGTCGTGACATTTTGTGAGATGTGATGAAAATTGACGAAAGCCTCGCACGAAACATCGATTTTGAGGTCCCACGTGTCTCGTCTCGAGTCTCTGGTTTTCCTGTGGCCTCGCCGTGTCTATGGGGGAAGCTGCAAAACCTCTCCTTTTCGAAGATTTCCAAGCCGGTTGTCATGTCGTTTTGCATGGCAGGCTCGGCCCTTTGTGACATTCCAACCTGTTTGATACCGTGTCGAAAGTTCTTTTGTGTGGCAGACGCAGTACTTTTAACTTGCGTCGTTTTCACAAGACGAGTTGCAGTTGTCGTGGCAGGCACAGTCCACACTCCACCCTTTACACTTCACACTCCGCACTTTACATTCCACACTTTACACTCTACACTGTGCACTCCACACTCTGCACTTTACACTCCACACTCTACACTCCACACTCCACACTTTACACTCTACACTTTGCACTTCACACTCCACACTCTACACTCCACACTTTACACTCCACACTCCACACTCTGCACTTTACACTCTACACTTTACACTCTACACTTTGCACTCCACACTCCACACTCAACACTTTACCCTCCACACTCTACACGTTACACTCTACACTTACACTCCACACTCCACACTCTACACTTTACACTCCACACTTAACAACACTTTACACTCCACACTTGACACTTTACACTCCTCACTCCACACACTACACTTTACACTCCACACTTTACACTCCACACTTTACACTCCACACTCCACACTCTACACTCCACACTCCACACTGCACACTCCACACTCCACACTTCACACTCCACACTGTACAGTCCACACTTTACATTCCACACTTTGCACTCTACACTTTGCACTCTACACTTTAGACTCTACACTGCACACTCCACACTTCACACTCCACACTCTACACTCCACACTTTACAGTTTACGCTTTGCACTCCACACTGCGCACTCCACACTTTACACTTTACACTTTACACTCCCACTTTACACTCCACACTTTACACTCCACACTTTAACCCCCACACTTTACAATTTACACTTTACAATCCACACTCTACACTTTACACGCTCTACACTTTACACACTCTACACTCTACACTTTACTCTGCACACTCCACACTCCACACTCGAGACTCCACACTCGAGACTCCACACTCCACACTCTACACTCCACACTCCACACTTTACACTCCACACACCACACTCCTTTCTCTACATACAATCCACACTCCTTACTTTACAATCCACACTCTACACTTTACACTCTGCACTCCAGACTCTACACTTTACACTCTACACTTTACACTCTACACTGTACTCCACACTTTACACTTTACACTCCACACTGTACGCTCCACACTTCTTACTTTACACTCCTCACTCCACACTCCACACTCTACACTTTACACTCCACACTCCGCACTCTACACTTTAAACTCCACACTCCACACTCTACTTTTTACACTACATTTTACACTCTGCAATTTACACACTACACTCTACACTTTACACCCTACTCCACACTCATTACTTTGCACTCGACCCTTTTCGGCATTCCACAGTCTACAGTGGACTGGCAGGGTAACAGGGGAAAAATGTAGACTGTTCAAATAACTTGTGTCACAAAAGTGCCCTACGTGACTGCATTCGGGTTCGTGGGCTGCAACTTGTTTTTTTCAAATTTTAAATAGGTTTGAGGAGGGCTTGGGTTTGACAAACCAGAGGAGACTTCAGATTTTCTGTACTATGCAAACATTGGCAGGATGACTAGCAGGCAAACAAGGGGGTTGCAGCGAACATGCTGAGTTCTTCAATTTTTTTTCCAGTTGGTTGTGCATGGTATGCCTCCTACACTGTCAGTACTGACGTTGTTGCAGTCAGGTTCAATGGAAATATCAACCGCTAAAGTCCTAAAGACATGCCGTATCACTAGATAACAGCAATCTGCTCTGCATTGGCCTTCCGAATGTCAGACTCTTGCTGTAGGTTATGGAAAGCAACAGAAGCGCCAATGCCTGAAATGGGTGAACTGCAAGAACAATTGCTACTGTGCCCAGTGGGCAAAGCTTCTTGAAACCTCAGAAACTGGTGGGAAAGCAGACCGGGATCTGGGAGTGCCAGAACCAGAGGCAGAACCTCTTGATGAAATTGTACAGGTGGAAGTCCAAACCGTCCAAACCGTCCAAACCCAAGATAGTTGAAGAGCCGTGAATCATCAAACGTTTGGTGAAATCGTGCACAATTCAAAATTTTTGGGCTGCTGGAACAACTCAAGCTTTCAGTGCCGTGCTCGAATTATTGACTCTGCCACTGAAAACAGTCTCTTACTGTAGCGGTTTTCCTAGCGGTCTTTGTCACACTTTTGCGGCAAGAGAACGATGGTAGAGTTGACTTTGGAAAACGGAAACCGCTTCGTTGGAAAAAAAAACGGTCATTCCGCGCTGCTGCTGCGCTGCTGTTGCGCTGCGCTGCACTGTCGTTATCTCATCGACATGACTTCCTCGATGGCCTCAATCTCCTTGATGTCGATCTGCCAGGCCACGATCACGACTGTGGGCTATGGAGCCTCTCAGTGGCATATGTGTATCCCGGATGTCTCAGTTGAAAATGTTGAAACAGAGCGTTTGAAATCAAAGAACTTCATGAGTTTGTTCAAGGGCTTGAAGTGGCAAAGAAGATGCAGGAGGAAATCTTTTCTTTCACTTAATTTTGATCTGGTTTCTTTCCAGGTCACTGTCAACAGACTATGTTAAAAAAATTAGATCAGCCCTCGACTTGACTAGATTCTTCCGGCACAGCACAGCCCAGGATCACATACCTGTGAGCATCCCAGGGCAGGCGACGGCAGCAGGATTTTGTTTAATGATGCTTTTGGCATCTTTTGGCCATGCAAAACAGATCCTACAATTCTGTGAGAAGAAACAGACTCATTGTATCAATTAAATATGTATATATATATATACACATATGATGTAATACATCTGTATACCTTTACAGGTAGTAGAAATAGTATGGATCCACATGTGTTTGTTTGTATTATTTCGCTTCTCAAGACTGCGGATATCACTGATGGGGGAAATGGACTGTTGGCAGCGCGTGATCTTGAGATTGTCGCCAGATTGTTGGTGCAGTCGCTATCCTCTATGGCACCATTCTGCTCGGGCCTGCTTGCCTGTATTGGATTGGTGTTTGGAATATTGGCCAACATCTTGCGAACAAAGAGTAATGCTACAACAGGGAACCAAAGGATAAGAATTTTGCCTGCATTGAGAGTTTTTGCAATGAAAATGCCAGGCTGCCGATCGGTATCATTGGCTCTCAGCGCGACGCCGAGACAATCGCATCGCTTTGTGAAGACTGGCCGCCAAATTTCATTTTTTTTTTTGGATACCCTTCTAAGGGAATGCTGCCCATCAATCTAGCGAATCAACGACCTCTCTGACATGCACTTCCAATGACTATCAATGACCATGTGGATAGAATGCTCTGTCCAAAGATAGCTGTTTGAACTTCCCTGTTGTGCACCTGTCTCGTTTTGGACAGTTCTTTGTGGCTACAAATCGAGAACTGGCAGTGAAGGTTCTCCAATGAGTTTGGCCGTATGATAGCATCGGGACGTTCGCGTCAGATCCCCAGAACGCAGATGGACGCTGGGAGGGTCCAGAAAAACAATGAACCAACAATGAAAAACATGTCCAGAACATGTCCAGAACTTAGGAAATTTTATGTTCCATCGCTGACAGAGTTCTCTAAATATGTTCCCCTTGGGATATCATTCGGGGTGCCCAGTTTTTGAACGTGCTCGACCCGAGGTGAACATGGCAGCCGGGAACGACGTACTTCAGTGGGGAATCGGAATCTGCCGCCGAAAGGTGGGAATCTCTGAGGTTTTTTTCATCCCCAAAATGACGGGAGACAAAAGGAACCATCGTAAGGCAACAAAGATGGCAGTTTTTTCTTACATTCGAAACAGTATCAGTACTTATCAGTATCACACTATCACACAATGTTTATATTTCGCACTGGTTCTTGCTACATACTCGTACATTGTCCATGTATCATGGGCTAGAATGCCCAGACTGGTTAGAATCTTTGCACCAGTCAGAATGTACAGGAATGCAACTTCTTGCGTGCAAAGCAAAGTCGTGTGATGGTATGCCATGCGAAGCAATGCAATTCCACATTGCAATGGGTATTGATGCTGGGCAATGTAGCCCGGCTTGACCAAGAGAGAACCAACAGATGCATCAGTAGTCTTGCAAGCCTGGGAAGAACACTAGCCTCGCGGTACCTGGGAAGAAACTGAATGACATGCCTCTGCAACAA